TTGGGCAAATTCAAGAGGAGGTTGGATGATCACCTGTCTGGGGCCTTGTGAACCCAGCATTCATTCCTGCCTGTGGCAGGGGGCCAGGCTAGATGATCTGTTCGGGTCCCTCCTGACCCTAGCTACTGTGAAACTATGGAGCAAACTGAATTAATCAAGTCTGCTGGAGCATGGAAACTGATGCATTCTGGCAGCCTTCCATGTCGTGTATCAGCATCCCTGCATTGAGAAAATGGCAACAGGGTGCTTTGCAATAAAATAAGTTGGAGTACTGCATCCAGTTTTGGGTGCTGTACTTCAAGAAGGATGTGGATAGACTCAAGAGGGTCCAGAGGAGGGCCACTCATATGGTTAGGGACTTACAGGACAAGCCCTATGAAAAGGGACTGAGGGATTTGGATCTCTTCAGCCTCCACAAGAGGGAGGTGATCTTGTGGCCACCTACAAATTCATTAGGGGAATGCAGCAAGGGGTCGGAGATGCTCTGTTCACCAGGGTGGCTCTTGGGGTAACAAGGAACAATGGTCACAAACTGACAGAGAGCAGATTTAGGCTAGATATCAGGAAAAGCTTCACGGTAAGGGTGGCCAAAATTTGGAACGGGCTTCCAAGGGTGGTGGTGCTCTCTCCTACCTTCAAGGTCTTTAAGAGAAGGCTGGATAGACATCTGGCTGGGGTCATCTGACCCCAGCACTCGGTCAGACTCAATGATCTATTGAGGTCTCTTCCGACCCTAGCATCTATGAATCTATGAAAACGTGTTCAATGAGCTTCCGTTCAAAGTGCCCCGCCACCATTTTTTCAGTACGGGGATGCTGATACACATGACGCATAGGCACTTTTAATTAGAGCAACTCACTAATTAAAACGCCCAGCGCCATGTCCCAAAGCACATGTAAAAATGCTAGTTGTAAAGGGACTTAGTAAGATTGGCGAATTGTTCTCTTGAACTTGGCCACCTTAATTCTGCCCATGTATTGTTCTGGGGGGCCTGAGATCCTTTTGTAAATACAAGTTGACATAAATCAGTAAACTCTGTAACACAAATTGGTTACAGGCAGTCCTCGACTTAAGATGTTTCGAGTTGCAACCAACAGCACTTACGACATTTATAAATTGACACCCTGTTTCGACTTTCTGACATCAGTTTCAACTTTAGGGCACTTGATCTGATGCAACACCACGCCAGCAAACAAGTTTGCTGCGCTGCTCATCTCCTTGGAGAACATCTGTCCAAACTTTCTTGGACATTTTCTTTAAGAAAGCAGACAAGACTCCAAAAAACCTGCAGCCAAGACTCCTGAGAAGATTCCAGCCAGGAGCCCTTCAAAAAGTCCAGCAAAGTCACCTGGAAGAAGTCCTTCCAAATCAATATGATTGCTATTTACAATATAAATACGTTAATGTATCTATACTACTTGTCTATAATTGATCGAGTACAAAATTCTGGGTTATTTTTGGTGAAAATACAGTATTGGGCCTTGGCTCAGGAACCAATCCCCCATTTATAACATTGTTCCTATGGGGAAATCGGTTCTGACTTACGACATTTCGATTTAAAAAGCACAGTACAAGCACTGTTAGGTACATGAATACTTATCCGTGATTCACAAGACAAACCCAGATATTTCAAATGGAAATCCACGGTATTAAAAACATTTAATCTGATGTGATCTTTGATCTCCTTGCAGCAGAAAGGACAAGTTTATTGTAGTCAAGAAAAAAGTGAAAGCTAAAAGCTGGTATTTTTAGAAGGGTGCCTTGTATCTGACAAAGGGGTGCCTTAAGTCTAAAAAGGTTGAGAATCATTGATCTAGGCAGTGACATCAATGGGGTTACAGCTGTATAAAGGTGGTATAATTAAGTGGATAAATGGGTCCATTGTCTCTAATAAATCATGGTTAGCAAAGATTCACAGGCTCCCCTCTGTTTGTTAAACACATCTTCTGCATTATAAAGATCAATATGCTTAGGTGCATGAGAGTGGACTTTCAGCTGAAAGTGTTTTTATTATGTGAAATACACGTTGATGTCTGTGTAAGCAGTTTTGTGTTTAACAAAAAAGTAAATGTCTGCTTAAGTTTTTAATGCTACCTGCAATCTTTATGACCTAAAAAGAGATATTAGGATAAGATGAAAGGAGAGAGTTTATTGCTCTGCCCTAACATTGTGAAATTTGAGTATAGACATGCTTCAAATGGTTCTGAGATTCTTCAGGTCTGTTTGGACAAGGCTGTCCCCATTCATGTTTACTGCTCAAGAAATATACCTCTTAGCATACAGTTCACTTAACTGCAGCAAAAGAGTGCAAATAGATTATGGATAATTTCCTAACCAGAAAAATTATTTCAGCTCTAAGTCATTAGTATTTATGATCTAAGTCTATTTTCACAGGAAAAATATCATGAATCCTTATGCTAAAATGTTTCCATGTGAGTAGTGTTCTTTCTCACTGCTAACCTGAAACCTCTTTGTAGTAGTGGAAGTTGGAAGGAGATTTGGCAGAGAGCCAATGAGGATAATAGCTCATACAAATAAAATGAATGCTAGCATTTCACTTTAAGATTTTCAGAGACATATTTTAAGTGCAAAGTATTATTACATATAGTGCTCCATAAAGCAGGCATTAAAAGTAATAAAGGAAAATGGAAAATGTATAATATAGTTTAAGCATAGCAATCAAAAAGCATTTTGCTACTTATATTCTTTTTTTCTTATGATTTAATGTAAGTTAATAGGATTTCCCTATACTTGTTCCTTCTCAGGGAAGTGAGGGCAAAATGCTACTTAAAAGCTGCCTGAGATCTGAATGCCTCATTACCTTTATCTGATCAAAATGACTGACAATTCAAGGGATTCACAAACATATGCAGGTTCTGAATTGTAGCTTGCTTTTTTAAATTCTGTTGCTGTTAAATGTCCATACTTGTATTTGTAGCATCGAGGATCACTCCAAAATGAATCCTGAAACCACATAATATTATAAATGGGCACATATGATTCAATCAAAAGTGCTCTCCTATTGAAGAATAAAACAAAGGAATGGCAAGAGAAGTGTTTCTCTGTGTCTCAAAAGACTAAAACTGGGTGAGTTTTTCCCTTCTAAACTGTTTTCTTTGTTGTAAATGTTAATCTCAGGACAAAACTTTACCATACCACCAACATTTAAAGCAACTTCAACATTAAAAGAAAATGTAATACATAATATGTATATAATTCTATACATACAAAATGAAAGTGATTTATCTCCTTCAGATATTGTTCTCTGAATTAGTGCACACACCTATCAGGTTGTAGTAATACCATTTTTATACTACTGTCTAGACACAAACTGTTTAAATTGCTGTGTCAACAAGCTAAAAGAAATCATAAGTAGCATCTTCAATTTGTTACTCACTAAGTGGCAAGATAAAAAATCACTAACGAAGACAAGATTGCGGAAGTAATATTTAAGTGGTACATCACTCAGAAGCCCTAAAGAAAATGCTGCATAGTAAACAACTTGACAGAAGGGAAATCAGAAAGAGACATCCAGAGAAGGAGATAAAAAGGTATCCTGAACAAAGATTCTGGCTTCCTCTGCTGTAATTGACAACCTTTATGACACTAGACAAGAACCACTTATTACAGCAGTTAATGTGTATCCTGTACCCAAGATGGATAAATAGTAGTTTCCCCAGCAGACATGTGGACAGAAAGAAAATGAGAGGGGGACCTAATATTTTCCTTTACAAAACATTCTTGTGACTTTTTTTAGAAATTCTTATACCCCCTTTTTCACAGTAGGCCTTTGAAATTTGGTGTGCAGAAAACCTTAAAGCTAGGGAAGTGCCTTCCTCTTATTAAATGCCATTCAGGATATTACTTTTTGGAAATCATAATAGTTTTTGCTTAGAGATTTAGGTTGATCTGTATAAAAGAAGAGCTGGCGAGCTTTGTACTGGGCTGGGGGATGTATTTGGTGCTAATGCCTTGCCCCACGGAATCACAGGTTAATGGGAGGGAGAGCACTGTGTCTTGAAAATAGTAAATCTCACTGATTCTTTGCCATCAAGCCCTGTGGTCTTTATGTATGCTGTGATTTTTAGTCACTGGAGTCAAAGATGAGTGGACACTAACCAGCCATACGTATACAAAATAGGATTTTTGCTTCATTCAGTGTACAGGTTAGATGCATAAGTGGCTATAAGGTTGCATAAGCAACCATAATAATTAACAAATTGTTAAATATTTTGTAATCTCAATAACATTTTAACATAGGTTTTTGTTTGGCTTTGTTCTTATTTTAATATAATACATCTGGTTTTCAATCATGTAATAGTGAAAAGTGTATAACAATGCAGCAAGATGTCTAGAACTCTCTTAAGGATGGAAAATTCATCTTAAAATTAAAAGACCTCGTTATATGGACTCCACACAGGTTCTTACACAATCACTTCTTCTGGCTTCTGCTGCTTAAAATGAAAGGTGGAGGACCAGATTTCTTGAATGCTGGCTTACACCTCATGTTCAAGGTGTGGCACTACTTTGGTACCTAGGATGATTGCTAACTAAACTTGTTTACAGTCAGCCTCAGCCAGTCATTATTGAGCGTGTCTGGTTCTCTGAGTGATTCATCTAGAGGGAAGTAGGTTTAAGGTTGTTCCCTGTCACTGACAGGGTCAGAAGGTTGACATCAATGAAGAAATACAAAGTGGCCTTCAAACATGCACGTGCAGCCTTCAGACACCTGAGGAAATGGGTTTGAAGAATGAAACATCACATTCAAGACCAAGCATTTGGTTTATCAAGCAGTCATGATCTCCACCTTACTGTACAAAGTTGAGATAACATACAGAAGACAACATACAGGAGATACCTCAAGTCCCTGGAGAAGTACCATTGACACTGCCTGTGGAAGATCCTTTGAATCCAGCAGGAAGATAGATGCACCAATGTTAGCATCCTCTCACAAGCAAACACCATGAGCATCAAGGTGCTGATCATCCAACATCAACTTCACTGAGCCAGCCATGTCATCCAGATGTCCAACTGCAGACTCCCCAAGCAAGTTGTATTCTCCCAGCTCAGTCAAGGTATATGCTCAAAAGGAGGGCAAAGGACATCTTCAAGGCTAACTTGAAAAATGCAACATTGACATCAGCTTATGGGAGACTATCGCTCAGGACCTCCCCAAATGGAAGAAGAGTCTGCTGCAAAGATCTCAGTACTTTGAAACCTCACAATGACAACAGGAGATGGAAAAGTGGGAGCAGCAGAAACATGTCGCAGACTGAATCAAAAATCCAGAGCAACCCACCCTGACATGGAAATATGTGTCAAAGTTGCAGTAGAACCTGTTGGTCCTAGATTGGCCTTCTCATCCATCTTTGGGCCCACAGATAAGTCAGCCATGGAGAACAATCATCCTCAACTGCGAGGGATTGCCGATGATGATGTAGCTGGTATTAAGATACGCAGTTAAGGTTACTGCCTAAGCAAAGGAAGAAAAATGCTCAACACAACTAAAAATGGAAGGCAAGGATTTTTGTGAGTGATATCTTTTATTGGGCCATGAAGTTGGAAATTTCCTAACCCAATTCTAACCATGTTTACTGGCTCCATCCTTTGCCAGTCAGGAATGGAATCTCCTGCTTGTTGCCAATTTTTCTACTTTGCAATGCAGTGCAACTCCTGTGTGTTGCATGTGTTTGGGTGAACGTGCTTGCCTTCTTTTCTTCTTGTGTTAACATGTCTGTACCAAACAACGGTGTTAACCTCTTCTCCAGTATGTGGTTGGGATGCTGTCATTTCTTCTAGTGCAACGGTTCTTAACCTTTTCTTAGGCTCAAGGTATCCCCTGCCAGGAAAATGCCAGTGCTTTGTTTCCACTCTTTTTTTATTTGTAACTAGAGAAATATAACAAGAGCGTGTCTTCTGTTCCAAAGAACTCAGGACACCCACAGCAGCTCAGCTTGGCTTGAACACTAAGAATTCTTCCTGGAAATCTCTGGGGTTGGTCTTGTGAAACATGCCTGCACACTGAACAGCACTATCATGGTGGGGGCACCCCTGAAAAGATCTCTAGGCACTCCAGGGTGGCCCCAGTGGAGAATCACTGCTCTAGTGGGAGGGAGAGGGCGTTCCTCAGTCCAAGGGGAAGCGGAGACCTTGAAGAGGGGGGCTCCAGCTCACTCACCAGCACCCTGTAGGTGCCCAGGAGGGCCGTGCCAGAAGCGGGGCAGGTGGGGACTGTGTGTGGGTTCCACCCCCGTTGGTGTATGGGAGACACAGAAACACTTGGGCACTGACCCTGGAGCCTTGCTCAGGGGCAGTGACACATGTGCTCGTGCACGTGTTTGTGTAGCCCTGTGAGGAACCTGCGAAGTGTGCATGTGTGTGTGTGTGTGTGTGGAGGCTGTGACATGCATGCACGTGTGTATGAGAGCGTAGCCTTGTTGGGCGGTGACGTGTGCATGTAGCCTTGCTCAGGGGCTGTGACGGGTGTGTAGTCTTGCTCATGGGGTGTGATGCATGCTTGTGCACACGTGCGTGTGTGTGCATGCAGCCTTTTTGGGGGGCTGTGATGGGTGTGTAGACTTGCTTGAGAGCTGTGATAAATAATGTGTGGGTGGGCATAGTCTTGTTCAGGGGCTATGATGGGTATGTGTGTGCACGTGCAGTCTTGCTCGGGGCTGTGATGGGTGTGTGCATGTGTGTGTAGCCTTGTTCGGGGGCTTTGACAAGTGTGTGTGTGTGTGTGTAGCCTTATTCGGGGGCAATGACAGGTGCCTGTGTGGAGATTTGCTCCAAGGGCACGATGGGTGTGTGCGTGCATGCAGCCTTGCTTGGGGGTTGTGAGGGTGTGTGTGTGTGTGTAGTCTGTTTCGGGGCAATGACGGGCGTGTGTGCGCATATAGCCTTGCTCGGGAGGCTGTGACGGTGATGTGTGTGTAGCCTTGCTCGGGGGTTGTAACGCGTGGGTGTGTGAGTCTTGCTTGGGATGTGATGGGTGTGTTTGTGTGCGCGTGTGGGGGGGCTCTGACGCGTGTGGCAGGTGTGTGTGTCCCTGTTGGCGGCCGTGACGCGTGTGGCCGGCAGTGCTGGGCGGCAGCGGCGGGCTGGCCAGGGCTGGGAGGCGGCCGGAGGAGGGGGCTGGCGCTGAGGCTGAGGCGGAGGAGGAAGGGGTCGGGCTGGGCCGGGCCGGGCATCGGTGACCCGGAAGCAGCAGGCGGCGCGTCGCCCAGCCGTCATGGAGCGGGCAGGCGGGGCC